CCTGCTGAATATCAAAGACAGCAGATTACTACTAAAACCCAAACTTTGAATTTCTGCGTGCTTCCATTTCTCCTACTGATAAACACAAATAACCATTTATCCTCTTTGAAACACACCAGCAGACGGGGATTACCTTGCCTGAAGCATTAATGTTCCCGTCATTAACAAACAGCAGCCCTGTGTGTACAGCTAGTGCCCTGGCTCTGCTCCCTGGATGCACTCCGGGATCACAGCCCTGGGAAAGGGCAGATTTAACGTGCAGGTTAACCCTTTGGGTAATGCCTGGTTACTTACAAGCCTTTGTAGAGAATGCAGCCTGCCAAGACATGGGGAGACCGCTGGCAAGTTTGCAAGATGAGAGTTGCTTTCAGTAAAAGCAAGGGATCCACCTAGACAAGGAGAACCACAAGAAGTTATGCCAGAGAATCCTGGGAGATGCTCAAAGCAGCAAATAAACGCAAAAGCATTGGCACTAAGGCAGCTCTAGAGCCAGACACTACAGAGGACAGGCTTTTACCTTGGTTTTGTCCAGATTCCAGAGAGAATTGAAAATCCTGTGGAGGTCACTGGTGTTTTTTTGGATATGTTCAATATATCTGTCCCACTGCCTGCTCAGTTCCTCCCGAGAAAATGCCTGCGGACAACAAAAATTGACATGGCTGTCACTGCACAGGCCTTAATGCATTCAGGATGGTTACAGGCAATCAAGCTGGGACAGTACCTATAAGTGACAAATCTTGTGAGGATAAGGAGGAAGATGATATTGAGAGGAAACTGCCTTAGACTGAGCATCTACGAAACTTCTGGTAGACACCCACACTACCTGGGTGCAATAAGGAGGATGGGCCTGTACACTGTCCCAGGTCCCGATTCTGTGATACGTGAGCTTGCTCTGACCCTTGCAAGTACGAAGACAGTGGAAGGGAACATGCCAGCACGTGTGTGCCTGGGCAGAGCTCGGCCAATACGGGAAGGGTTGAATATCTTTCCTAGGCAGAAACATGACAGCTGCTGATCTTTAATTACCATGTAGGCACGATCCACAGGTCCATTGTAGAAGGTGAAGAGGCTGATCAGCTGCTCCAGAAACCGCCTGCAGCTGACATCAGGGAGCTCAACGGCACAGCCCAGAACCTTTAATACAGAAGGCCATGAACGAAGAATGTTTACTGACAAAACCCAGGCACAGCAGGTGAGAACAACTCTTATCACTTTCAAATGAGTATCAAAGGTATGCAAGCAGCTCTGTGGCAGGCAAACAACCCCCAGGTTCACAAGTCAGATGAAAAGCAAATTCAAAAATACCCACAGAAGAACCCTGCCACAGACAGGATAAATAAATGATACCAGAAATCCAGCGTTTTAGACACACTCCCTTCCCACGTTAGATGACCCAGCTTGGTGCTTTAATAGCTAAGAACCTTTTCCTGAAGCTAAATACTTAAAAATACTCAAATTAACTTGTTATTTACAGTGATGAAGATGCTTCATTTAGTTTTTGAGTTGCCGAGAGAAACAGAAGCACGAGGCCTTCTGCCTCAGAGAGAGTTCAGTGAGCCTGAACAGCACTGCCAATTAAATAGGTCTGACCGGTCTTAGCCCAGTTTCCAGGGGATGGTTTGGGGCATTTTTGTCACGACTCTGCTGCACACTGTTCTTTATATACTAAATGTCTGTTGACACTGACAAAGCTCTGCAGCAGGGAATGCTGAGGGTTAGAAGGAAAGAACAGACTACCAAATAGGGAGACTGAGTCCTTATTATAAACTACAGCACACAGAATCCTGTTCCCAGTCATTGCCGGTAACCCACGGATACACGTAATGATGCAGAGGCCAATGCTTTACAGCCATTGCCAGGCACATCTTAAGAAAACACGTTGGGTGTGGACACAAATGAGGTACCTGAAGCTTTCTACAAAACAGCTGAAGTAACTGCCATGACACAAGCTTGTAGGCTGTGGCAAACAAAATTTAAGCTACCTTGCAATGAAAAGTTGTGCACTGCAAGTTCTCACCTGAGCTCTCCCCAGGTGTATCTGTGTGCAGGCCATACCATGAGGGGGGGGGGGAAAAAAAAAGCCCTCTTTGTTTGATAAAGTAGTTCAGACTCTCACAGTTTTAGCTCTGCAATTGCCTCCGCATCTCTTGAACTCACCCACAGATAGTCTCCATCCACTACAACTGCAAACTTGAGCTTCCTCAGGCGAATGAGACTTGGAGGAACTCCAGAAATCTCAGTCATGCAGTGCACCACTCCGGCAATCTGTCCGCACAGCAGTTCCTGCTGGTCGGGGAGAGTCTGTCGAGGAAGGCAGGGAAGAAGGAGTTTGTTTTTTTTTCCTCTCTTTAAAAGGGCTTGGAAAAAAAAAAGTCACTACTATATTCAGGTATAAATAAAAATTAATTACAAGTTCAATTCAATTATAAATCAAATGCTGTAGCACAGGCAAATTTCTGGGGAAAAAATAATTGGACTGCCTTTTTTCAGGCAGCACAAGGGCTCAGAGCTTATTTAGGGGCACTTTCATCCCTCATGTGTATTTATTCACATCACCAGAACAGACCTGGACTCTGCTGGAGGACGCTACTGACCAGCATCCACAGTGAGGGAGCAGAGTGCAACACCGCCATGCCCAGCCAGTTCTAGTTGCATGAGTTTTCTTAAAACTTTCATAAATACTAAATAAGAATTAACCCAAAGCTCCACCTGGAAGCCCATCCATTCCTAAACCAGAATTATCAGCACTGACTCACAACACAGGCACTGAAATAAAAGCAGACGTTACCTGAGAAGGATAAAAATAACAAATCCCGGCACTTGTAGGATCTCCTTCTTCTTTAACCTTTGAACCATCATAAAGGAAAAAGTAATTCCACCTAAAAAAGCAAAGCATTGACAGAAATTACTGCATGTTTGAAAACTTATGCTTCTCCTTCTCCTTTCTATTATTTCAGGTAGAGCAACAAAAGGTTATTACAAATGAAGAGAGACGTGGTTCTTAGATAATCACGCTGAGTTTAGATGTGAAAGCAGCACAAGAAGGGCCCCACGCTATTACACTTGACCGCTTTTGTGGGTTTAAGACAGATTCTATAACTCCGCAGCTAAGACACGAGGAAGGAGATACGGACTCCTGAGATATTCTCCTATCCTCAGCACACGGAATAATTATCAGTAAGCATTAACCATGACCAGGCCAAACGGTTCCCACAACCTGCTGCTTCTAATTTAATTCCTGACTGTACACGACAGGCCTCAAGGAGCGCAAGAGGGAGGCTTCCTTCACAGGATGGCCTATATCGTAATATTATTTCAAGGATGCATGTATCTAATAATACTTTTTTAGCCACTCCTACTAGTAAGCAGCTAGTTACAAGCTTTGCACACGAGAGCTCGCCAGCAGAAACAGATGAAGTCTGGAAGAAAAGCCAGAGGCAACTCAAAAGGTGAAACTGAAGAACACAAGTTACTGCCTGGCCAAGGAAAAAGGGCTGAATCCGGCCTTAGACCGCCTCTGCGCGCTCCTGGAGCGATTCACCGGAGAGAGACGAAGCCGTGGAGCCCCGCCCCGGCTGGCCGGGGGGCCCGGC